GCTGCTTGTTGGGCCACAGCAATGAGAAAGAAACTAATACACTGGGAGTGTATTCAGGTGTTTGTAAAATGTTTTAACTGAAAAGTGAAGAGCTGAATGTGGAAGGCACTAATCCGTGGACCTGGAATCCTAGGCTGAATAAGAAGCAGAGGTGGGCTGAGCACCATGCTCACCTCTATGTTTCCTGGTGTGGATGCAATGCTGACAGCTTCCTTAAGCCTCTCCCAAAATGCCTTTCCTGATTGGATGGACTGTATCCCTCCAAACTGTAAGCCAAAATAAACCTTCTTCTTAACTTACTTTTTTCCTATTTATTTATTTATTTATTTATTTATTACAATTTGTTCACTTTGTATCCCAGCTGTAGCCCCCTCCCTGTCCTCTCCCAAGCCCTCCCTTCTTCCCTCTTCTCTTCCCATGCCCCTCCCCAAGTCCACTGATGGGGGAGGTCCTCTTCCCCTTCCATCTGACGCTAGCCTATCAGGTCTCACCAGGAGTGACTGCATTGTCTTCCTCTGTGTCCTGGTAAGGCTGCTCCCCCCTCAAGGGGAGGTGATCAGAGAACTAGCCACTGAATTCATGTCAGAGACAGCCCCTGTTCCCCTTAGTAGGGAACCCACTTGGAGACTGAGCCACAGCAGTTAAAAAAGAACTAATAGATGTCTTAATGTGTTAATTTATGCAAAGCTTTCAGCATAATGCTGGTACAAAGTAAGGGATGAATGAATGTCAGAGATTAATATTACCATTCTCAGTTTTGTGGTAGGCTTGTTAGGTATAATAGCAATGGAACATTGTCCCAGTTCATTCATATATATATATATATATATATATATATAATGTATATATACATATAGATAGATAGATAGATAGATAGATAGATAGATAGATAGATATAGATATACACACATTTGAAAGGGAGGTTCAGCAATAACTACAGAAATAAATATGATTAAGTGTGTTTGACATGATAATAGAATTTGAAAAGTATTTTGAGACCATAAATGACTAACTGTCTTAGTGTGGGGAATCCATCCAAATTGAACATAATCAGCCATCTAAACCACAGTATTGTGGTTCATATACACAAGTCCTTTTCTTGCCACAAGTATTTGAAGGACTCAGAGCTCAGGTCTGGGCCTCTCCTCTGTGCTCACTCCCAGGTGACCATATCCATCCACATTCACGGTGCGGAGCTCTTGCACCTCATTCCACCAGAGCGCCTGGACTGTAAGTGCCGCGATGTCTCTGCCACTCACACCAGCCTCAACTCCCAGCAGTGTTGTTCCAGCCGGTGAGATGGCTCAGTGAGTGGAGCCATGTGAAAGCCAGGCTTCACTGTGATCCCCATTTCCTAAACCAGGTGGGAGGTGGAGACAGGATTATCCATGGAAGCTCCACATCTGTTGGCAGTGGTGAAGAGACCCCATCTCAAACAAGGTGAAAACTGAGGGTCAGCACCCAAGGTTGCCCTCCGACCTGCATGTGGGCTGTGGCATGTGAGTCCCCACACCCATTCACACAGACACACAGACACACAGACACACACACACACACACACACACACTATGCTCACGCAGCTGAGTGCAGCTAATAAGTTGCAAGAGCTACAATCTGAGCTCTGACAGCCAGGTTCTGAGAACTCACTCCTACCACGAAGGCCCATTGTGGGGGGTGGGGGGTGGGGGGGGTGGTTATCCTATAAAACAAAGAAAGTTAATAAACTTTACCACCCAGATGGATACACGTCAGGCTTGTTCTAGGACTTTCTACCATTATCAAAAACCTTGCTTTTCTTGTACTTTGCAGAAATTTCTTCCTTTTCTCTGAGAAAAAGCAGCCATAACTACAAATCAATTTATGTTACACTAACCTATTCTTTTCATCTAGCTTAGAAATGTATGATGGGCTGGGGGAGACGGCCCAGGCAGCAAAGAATTTACCTCTCACCTGTGAAAGCCCGAGTTTCTTTCCCCAGAACAGGGTATACCTGTAAACCCAGTGACAACAAGGTGGGGCTTAAGACAGCCAGGTCCCTGGAAGTTCCCAGTAGCAGCTAGTCTGGCCTGCATGGCAAAATTCCAGGCCAGTGAAAGACATTGTCTCAAACAAAATGTGAAAACACCAGAGCATAAACATTTCAGGTTGTCGTCTGATCTATGTATATGTGCTGTGCACATGCATACACAACCACATATGAACATATGAACATACAGAGAGAGAGAGAGTTGTGGGGGACAAGAGAGGGAGAGAAGGGGGAAAGAGAGAGAGGGAGGGCGAGACAGAGACAGAGATGCAGGGAGGACCCCCACCCCCCAAAAAAGAAGTCTTAGGAGCCACACAGAGCCCCTGGGGAGCCCACAGTGAGTCCTTCCCCTCCTTGGGTAGCTCTGTGCCCTTTGTGGTCCTTGGAGAAGCCAGTATTCCCTCCAAATCTCAGATTCCACCTGCTCCCTCATCACCCAGGACATGCCTTGTCTCATCAGTTCTCAGCTTATTTTTATCACATAAGCTACATTGTGTAGCACTCAACTTCATTTCCATTCTCTCTCTCTCTTTCAAGAATAGGACCCAGTTTGATTGGATGTGATAGCAGCAGAGGTAGAAATGTGGCAAAATTTTAAATGGTGAGAAATTTGTTTCACTACCTGGGCTTTGAGAGGCAAATTGTGACTCTTCTGCTTGCTCTGTAGTCAGCTGTACAAGCTAGAGGAAACAAAAATCTCTGACTTGTCTACGTGTCTGCTCACATCAAGTCAATCAAGTATGTAGAAATTGCCTATTTTATGTTCCTTCTGCTATTCAGATAAATAACTGAAAGGTTTATGCAAATACGGGTGCATATCCTTGAAACCTCAAACTACTCGGGTATTTTTTTTTAAGACACGGTCTCTCTGTGTTGTCCTGATTTGATAGGCAGATGAGGCTGGCCTCAAACTCATGGAGATCCACTTGCTTATGCAAACACAAATCCCAGGATTAGAGGTATGCCCTCAGACCTTAATGCAGCAGGAGGCAATGCTGAGGAACAGGTCTGTACATTGATTGCCCCCTATTCCATAGCGCAGAAGCTCACATCTGAGTATAGACTGCAAGTTCGCTGAGAACAGCAGACCCAGGCCCCAAGACCTGGCACACAGTAGGTACAACAACGTGGGTGTTTGACAGACATGTGTTGAACCTTCAGAACTCTTCCATCGACTGAGCATCGAGTCTTCTACACTCACGCGTGGGCACATACGTGCACGCACACGCACAGCTCTGGGCCATTACAAAACAGTTTGTGCTTAATTCACCCCTGCGCCTCTAAACAGAGCTAACAAGTGACAGACGACCATTTAACAGTCATCAAGGTGAATTAACTGCCATTCCTTATCTTACCCACTCTTCTCTGGCCCCACTAGTCCATTTGACTCCCAAGCCAGAATCCCACCAAGAGTCTCAGCATCCTAATCAAATATCAGAAAGCCAGATACCTTGAAGTCCTTTAAATCAATCTCAGAATTAAAATTGTAAATGTACTCTGCTCATTTCGTAAGTAATTTGGTGACCATCTAACTGCTCTCCCAGGAGGAGGGGGAAAGCACAAACTTCATGAGTCTGATCAGACATAGCACATAACAGATGTCCAGCGTGCCGCCGTGAGCTTGAGCCATAAATATGATGTCTCTGTTTGGCAGGGGGAAATGTATGAGAAGTATTTTATCAGTCACTTGCTAGATGGAAGGAGAACCTGAAGAAGGCAGAAGCTTCATCTAGCTGCATCTCCAAAGCCACGCTGGAGAAACACAGATAATCTGCTTGCAATGATTCATCAAGTTGGTCCTTTGTTTCATTAATTTGAGTGTCAAGTGCAGCCATACAATAAAGGATTGCCAAGACCCGATAAGATTCTCCTCCGGCTGCTGCTTTTCCTGCCCAGACAACGGACACTATTCATGCCCACGGCACACATTGAATAAATAGCTAACTGCACGGCTGGCAATGTTGGACAGCGCTTTGGATTTTTTGTGTTCTCCTTGAAGGGCTCCATAGCGTGTGCTTCTGTCTCCTGAATGTTCATTACTGAACCAACAATTTTAATGTTGTTAATAGAGTTTGGAAGTAGGCCTCATAAGTTAAAAATAGTCCCTGTTGTGTCATCTGTCCAGCAGTAGATTAGGGAAGATTAAAAAAGGATTGCCTTGCCTCTGCTGGCAATGAAAAGGCGCTCACTGTGCCCGTTTCCAGATGTGGGCTGACCGCCCCATCCCAGCATGATTGTTAGCCCCACACTGCTACAAACACCGTGGTAAGAGAGACATTAAGACAGCTATGTTCGCAACAATTACACATGGACGAAATACATTTTCAGCTAAATTAGATGCTTAACAAATGCTTGCTCTAATCGGATGTAGGGACGAGAGTGTACTGATGTGAACTCCTGAGCGCTGAACAATGGTCAGGCTTTTGATTTTAATCAAAATGTGAAGCTAGGCACAGTCAGTGCCTCAGCCAACACAAGGGACGCCTCAGAGCCTTCAGGTCCTTATGATGCAAGATCATGTATTATCTCCAGCAGCTAATATTTCTTCACTGATAATGGGAAGACTCCACAGCCCTGGTTCATCACATGGATGGAATGCACTTGAGTTTCAGAAAGTTTAAAATCATTCAGATGAGCAACAGGGACCTCAAAGGTTGAGTAGAAATATAAACTGTGTTCTTGGAAGCAAATGATGAATGAAGTCATTTACATGAAAGAGCACGGTCTAAAGGGAGCCTGAGACTAACGATTTGTCAAAGCAAAATTAAGAAGGAAAAGGACATTTGAAAACAACTGGAAATTGCAGCGACGTTTTTTTTGTTGTTGTTGTTGTTTTTTGTTTTTTTAGGAAAACAACCCCATGAGAGCATTTGCCAAGCTGTAAACACGAATGCAAATATAAATAGATCTGTTGACAGTTGGGAGGTTAACTTGTTTTTATTAAAACTGAAATTTTGGTTAGTACATTTTCAAATGGCCACTGTGTTCAGGACCAAATTGGCTTCTGCGTCCTTTTAGCTTGATGGCCCCATAAAAGGATAATAAATCTTCAAACCAAGAAATGGGTGCACACTTATGGTAACGTTCGCCCCAGAAATTCTGAAATTTCTTCACTGAAAAGATGCATTCGGTACTGGAAGGGCGATTGCAGAGGACGCTAGGACCCAGCAGGCGGCGGCAGGCGGCAGTGTGTGGATTGCAGGGAGACTCGGAGGGTCCGGCTCAGTTTTAATTCTGCTCTAATCTGTGCAACAGCCGAGCTTCCCAGGTCCGCGGCTCCAGCTCCCGCTCAGTCGCTGCCACTGCCGGGCGAGCATCTGAGCCGCCTCCACCCCGTCACCCACCATGGACAACCTCCAAGAAAAAGTGGCTCCGGACGCGCTTGCCTGAGAATTCTGCACAAAAGAGGAGCCCAAAATGAAGCCCCTGATGGTGAGTCTGTTGTTCCAACTCCGCCAGGCAAAGGCAAGGACCCCGGGGGTTCTGGGTCCCCGGGACGTCCAGGGAAACCTCACCGGGCACCTACCCCTGTGCCAAGAGGTCGCCTGTCATGGGTGACAACTTTCCGCCTAGCCTAGCTTGGAACCCGGGATGGGCACTAGGGCTGTCTGGGCTCCTGGATCTTTAGCGAGTGATCCGAGGGGCGATTGGAGAGGTTGGAGGGCAAGGAGGCAGGCTGGCCCCTCCAGGGAAGGGTCGTGTCCCTCTGTGACCGCTGGGCAAAAACTCTGAGGGGCGGGGAGGAGGGAGCATCATTGACTTTCTTGGTTTCCTTGTTGGATTTCAAACTTAGCGGGGAACGCTGCGGGAAGCCTAGGGGCCCAGAAGAGAGGGTGTACAGAGGGCTGGGATCCCAGCGGCTCAGGGGAGGACCAGACCCTTCTTCGCAAAGTGCCCTGGGCGGGCACGCTCACCCTCAGGCTGTCACGGCGCGCCACCTGCCCTCCACTAGGAGACGCGAGCTGCGAGCAGCGAGGAGGCAGGAACATCCCCGGCGGGCGCGCGGGACCATGTCACCGCTGCTCCCTGGCTGCGGGAGGCGGGGGCGGCTGCCCCGGACCTGTGCGTGGGGTCAATAAGGAAAGGCCGGCGAGCTTCCCGGCACTAGCTGAGACGCTGTCTTCTGCTCTCTCTCGCCCGCCTGCCCGCAGCGCCATGGTCTGGCAGTGTGTTTGGTGCTCACTACCATGTGCACCAGCTTGTTGCTCGTGTACAGCAGCCTCGGCAGCCAGAAGGAGCGGCCCCCGCAGCAGCAGCAGCAGCAGCAGCAGGCGATCGCGACCGGCAGCGCGCAGCGGGTGGAGGGCAGTCCTCAGCCACGGAGAACGGCCCCCGCCGGACCCCGGCAGCTAGACGGATACCTCGGTGTAGCAGACCACAAGGTGACAGCTTCTGCGCCATCCTGCCCGCCACCGCTCGGCCTGGGCATCCTGTACATCTGACCCTTCCTCCTTCCTGGGGCGGTGAGGCTGGAAGGTAGAGCAGTAGTTGGGGCAGGGAGGGCTGCGTGCTAGTTATGAATTTCTATTCCAAGACAGATGCAAAGTTTATCGGGGAATAGGAATAATGTCAGTGAATCCCGAGCCCAAGGGTTCCTGGACTAGAATCCTGAGACCCAGTAATAGCAGCAGCAGATGGATGTCCAGTTTCTGGAGCCCAGGAATTTCCAGCCAAGGCCCATGAGGCTGGGAGGAAACCAGGATGGTGCAGGGACCAGCCCTGTGCTTCCTCCTAATCCGCCAGAAGGGAGAAGAGAGAGCCCAGCCCCAGCTCAGTTCCGCAGGTTTCCCTCTGATCTCTGCTGGGGACTGCTCTGGGCTGAAAAGCCCCACCCCTGGGGAGCCCAGTTCTAGCAGGCGCGGAGGGCTGGAGGCACACTCAGCTCCCATTGGCTTGAAAGCCTGTTTTCCTTTGCCTTCCAGGAAGCTACTGCATGGCTTGGCTAATAATTAATAAGGTGGTTTTTTTTTTTTCCTTTAAATTGAACCTCTTTTCCGTAGACTAATAAATCTCTGGTTTCAGTGTAGGAAGCCTCTGGGAAAAACCTAATCAAGTTTCCTGATTCCAAAGATATTTTAATACAGTTTAAATGTATCTCTGATTATTTGAAAATTTTTTTATTAAAACACACTTCCATTCCGGGTCTATAGACCTAGAACACTGCTTGAAATCTTTCAACTCCTTTACTTTGTATTTTACTGCATTTTATAAATGTGAACCAAAGTAATATTTGCAGATGTTCCTTCTGTGTGAGAAGATTACTCTTGTCACACATGAGTAAGTCAGACTTTAAGTGACAATCAAAATATTGCCACTCACCTGTGCCGTGTAGAATGCTAAGGACATGAAGAATACAAAGGGATTCCACGCAGGACTCAGCTTTCCCATCCTTGACTGCCTGGTGGAAACAAGGCATGTCTGGAGATGTTTGTGGCAAGCCCCACTGATGGACAAACAAAAGCACCCACTATATACAGTGAGCGCAGTGGGGTTCGCCAAGGAGGGAGCTCGTGTTCTCTGGAAGAAGCAAGGGACCTTTCTGTGAAAATGTGAAAGTTGTGCTAGAGAGACTTCAGAGAAGGAGATAGGAGGAGGAGGAGGAAGCCATTTGGGGTAGAGTGAAAACTGCGGAGCAGTGGCTTCACCACACAGCGTCTGTCTGTTGCTTTCTTGGTTGTTGATTGATTGCATACTTGGAATCTGCATGTGCAAACTGCTGATAAGGGCTGCAGTTGTGGGACATTTAGCCCTGGCTTCTGGCTGGGGGTGGCTGTGGTGTTCTATGTGGGTCACTGGCCTGTGAGGAAAGGTGGGCTATGGTGGTGGAGTTTCACACAGTGAACAACTGGGAACCACCTCAAATTTTGGAAGCATTCATGAATAAGAAATGTCAAAAGATCAATGCCTGGCAAGCTCTGACGGACGTGAGAAGATATTCCAAATACTTTGTTTCTTCTGTAGCCTACTGTTCAACTGTTCCCAACTAGAAGGGCTGAGAGTTTAAAAGTAATCTTCAAAAAATGCTTATAGAAACAGGTGCGCTGATTACATTTTCAGTGTATAAGAGACGTGTGATTAGACGAACAACAGCCTTTCCCTGTGTAATGCTACCTGTAAATGAAAATGCTCTGTAGCAGAAAGGTAAACTGGGCAGTGCTATGACTTGCAATTCTTGGCAGAGGGTATTCTCTGTCTACAATTATCAATATCGATGCAATTCAGTCCTAGAAAACCATCTCTCAAGTGGTATGCTCAAACCTGCAATCCCAACACTCTGGATGCTGAGGCAGGGAATGCAAGATTGAGGTCAGTCTCAGTTACACAGGAATATCTTATGTCAAATATCCAAAAGAGTCAGGAGAAGGAGGAAAGGAAAGGAAAGGGAAAAGTGAAGAAAAGTGGGAGGACAGGAAGGAAGAAAAGAAAGAAAACAAAAAGAAGGAAAGAAGTAAAGAAGGAAGTAAAAGAGGAAGAGAGGGAAGAAAGAGGAAAAGAAGAAAGGAACAAATAGAAGGGAGGAAAGAGAAAAGGAATGAAGGAAAAAGTAAGGGAGGAAGGAAATAAGAAAGACGTAAAAGAAGGAAGGAGGAAATATGAAGGGAGGGAGAAAAGAAGGGAGGAGGAAGGGAGGAAAGAAAGGGGAAGGAAGGGGAAAAAGAGAAAGGAAGGAAGAGAAAAAGGAAGAAAAGGGGAAGCAAGGAAGGGGAAAGAAAGAAAGCCAGAAGGAAGAAAGAAAAAAAGCAAGGAATGAAGAGAGGGAGGAAAGGAAGGAAATCTATCTCACAAGTTCCACCCCAAAGTTGTACATATGGATGACACCAAGCAAAGAAAGAGGAAGGGAAGAAAGAAAGAGGAAAAGCGGGAAGAAAAACAAATAGAAGGGAGGAAGGAGAAAAGGAATGAAGGAAAAAGCAAGTGCAAAACCAGGGCACTATCAGTTATGTCCCTTAGTCCCAAATAGCTGATGCTCAAAGGGCCTTTGGTGGCCTCTTTACTGCTCCTGTGTCTCTGGCCTACAAGTGGGCGGAGCTCCCACTCCCGGTGGCTGCCTGAGGTGCACGTCTTGAACAGACACCAAGAAGCTATGGTTGGGTTCAGTTTTGTTTGAGATCTTCCACAGTCTCCATCAGGCAAGCCTGGAAATCATGTGTCAGGATGCTGCTAAAGAAAACACAGAAGTAAGTCAGGAAGGAAATCTCGCCCTTCCTTACACACAGCCACATGACAGTCCCTTTTCCCCTTCACTCTCAAGTCAGGCCTCAGAAAAATTACAGACACACTGAGCAAGATGACCACAGAAGCACCTGCTTCTCATACTGAATCAGAATTCCAAAGGACATGGAATTTGTTGTTGATTCACAGAGCCTCGGGAGAGTTACAGAATTAGGTGGGAAACCATATCTCCATAGCTCACAGTCCCCAAGACTGATGAATATGTAGTGTTTATGTTCAGTTACAGGATGGAATTAACATTATAACTCCAAGATTAAAATCAACAGGTGGCCCTAATCCCCAGCACCTGAATTTTACAAATTACAGGCTATCTGCAGAGTCTTGTTGCCCATGACCGTGGACTAAATTACTATTGAGATGAAATCATGTGTGCTTTTGTTAAATGATAGGCTAAGTCACTCTGGTGAGTGCTAATCTTAAAATGTCCTTTTGCCTGGCCATAGGCCCTGCTTCCTCATTCATAGATGAGATGATAAGAATTATAATCCTGGCATGGGGCTCAAAGATTGCTCGGTTGCTCATGATCATGAAGGAAGTTGCCTTTCTATTGAGTAGAATTGCCCTCTGGAATCTCTCTTTCCTCATTTCTGCCTGGTTGGGTATTCCTCACAGAAGCCCCATATCTGTATTCAGGGATTACTCTCCAGTTGTCAGTTTTGGAAGCATTAATGGCTAACCAGACTGGCCAGGTACAAGAGGAGAAACCAATTTCCATATTCTTGGGAGATGCCCTTATTTAGCAATCTAGCATAATATAAATAAACAAAATATACAGAGACACACAGATGTATAGAGAAACATACACACATGCATTCGAATTTTCTCTCTGTCTCTCTCCCGCCTCCTTCTCTCTCTCTCCCCACCCCCCTTCTCAACACATTCAATCAAGCAGCTGCCAAAGGAACAAGACAAGTCTTCCAGCACTGAGCAAGGAGACAGAGAACTCAATTCTGTTTCCAGTCTAGATCTTTCTAGGTAGATAAAGTCATTTTCATCTGGTAGACCTTGTGAATTACAGCTGAACTGATTCCCATTTCCAGGGCACAGGCCCTTATCACAGAAGGCCCACCTGTCACCCAGCCTGCCTTTTCTGCAGAGGCTAAGGAACGGGCAGTGAGTGACAGCTGGAGCTGAGACAGTGCAGCTATCTCTGCTTCACAAGCAGCCTGTAGGATGGGGCTGCTCCTCGCTCTTTCCCTCCTGGGGCACTTGGTTATTTGATACTTTTTGGTGGTCATGCTGTTACGTAGATGTACCCTGAGAAAGATGAGCAAGTCAGTTCAGCAGCTGAGAGTAACCCGGAGGAAAAGATGTCACATAACATATTTCAGGGTTGTGGCTAAAGAACCCCTCTTTAGAAAGTCTATAAACTATTAGTGACAAGTTGACACTATTTATTAAGTGCTATTTGATGACATTTGAGTAATCCAATTAGTGGTGAATCATTTTGGTGTCCGGAAAACTCAGAGTGAGTTAATTTTCAGGGCTCAGGTATTGGCGCATGAATTCTGCCAACATGGATGAAATTACAAAGCGAAAAGAGTCATGAGGTCAACTACCTTTTGAGAGTAAAGAGATTTAGCAATGTGTGCTGATAAGATGGCTCAGCAGGTAAAGGCACAGTGGTAAACGGAGAAAGCTGACTTACACAAGCAGTCACAAGCCCTCTACATGTGAACCGGAGCAAACACACACACACACACACACACACACACACACACACACACACACACAATGTAATTTTTTAATACTTAAAAGTTTCAACAATGTGTCTACTTTTAACAAAAGAAATGTTTGTATGACAAAAATTAAAATACTGACCCCCAACTGCTGTGATAGGTAGGCATTTTTCCCTGGAGATCCTCCAACTTAATATCCTTGGTGAGTGACTGTAGCCTGTTCCCTTTTCCATGGAAGCCCTTCCCCGAGGCCTTCTCATCACAGAGTCCTCAGATTACACGCCATCTTTTAATGAACCACATTTTACCCCACCCCAGCGGCAATTCTGTAACATTAGCTTATTTTTCTTTCCTATGTCTCATAATATTTGAAATAAGCTTAAATCTATTACCCTCTAACTAGAGTCTAGGGTCATGATAATAAAGTCTTCATAGGTCTTAACCAATGCAATTCTAGGAGCCGTAGAGAG